TCTCATCTCAGCCCCTTGCTGTCTCCTTGGTAACGCTGTCCATCACTTGTAACGCCTTAGTGGTGACCTCCGTTTGCCATCTCCCCCAGTAGATTGTAAGCTCCACCTTTGCTTTATTCTGTCGGGCCAAACGCAGGGCAAGGCATACAGTAGGCATGCAATAAAGATTGCTGAAGGAAGGCATGAGTACAATGAGGCAAACTGAATAGATGGAAAATAAATTATTTTCCACTTGAGTCCTTATTCTTGAAAGGGGCCATTCAGGAGCGAGAGAGGGAGAGGTGGGAAGAAACATTTTCAGTAACAATAAGAACAATAATAGCCAAGGCCAGCTGAGCACTTCCTATGTGCCAGGTACTGCTCTAAGCCCTTGTTTATTAGCTCACTTAATCTGCATCCCAGCCCTGTGCGGTAGGCATTATTATTATTGCCATTTTACGAATGGGGAAACAAGGCAGGGAGTACTGGAGTAGCCTGGCCTCCGTAACACAGTCAGGAGGGGGAACACATAGATTTGACCCAAGAAGCCTGGGCTCAGAGCTTGTGCACTTGGCCTCTAAGCTCACCACTGTTCAGGGCTTGATCCATCTCAGACTTCTCCCATGGACTCAACCCCAACAGCTTAAAAACGACTCTCACGCCACAGCTAGGAGACTTAGTGAGTGGGAGGAGGCAGACTCCATTAAACTCCATTATGCAGTCTAAGGAGGCTTTGAAAGAGTGCACTGCTAGAGTTTTTAGCATTCACTAAAGACCTACTTAAGGCTTACAGTTTAATTTTAGATTTGCAGGAGAGGAACTCATTACCTTTAGCCCCTCTTTGTGCCTCCAGCAAAGGGCAAAATGAGCTTTGAGGAATTAATTGTCTTTGGATTTCATTTCTCCTTCTAGGACAGTTGCCTCTAGTCTTTTTAGAACATGAACATGCTCAAGTTAGAAGCCTAAGAGAGTGGGAGAGACAGAGCACAGACACAAACACACAGACGTTATGGATTGAGGGGTAGCTGCCAGGAGCGGGTATGAAGGGGTGTGGCATCATGCTCGCTGGTATCTCAGAGGGGTTGAATGTGCAGCATTTACCATATTTGTCTTTTCCTAATGAATAGCAATGAATAAATCAGCACCTGCCATGATTTATCATGAGCTATTTTGCAGCTCAAGAGAAAGACAAATTGCTTCTGTAAAATACATTTAGCTCCAAGGTTTATTTTATTGTACCTTGAAATCTCCTGTCTGCCACAATATGATTTCAAATAAAATTAGCAACAGATGGAAGACCTGCACTACAATAGAAGAGGCAGAGTTGCCCACACATTAAAATAAATTGCAAAACTTGAATGTTAGGAAGAATTTTTTATCAAACAAAGCACCAGAAAGCCAGTGCCTCAGCAGTTGGGAAAAGTTGGGCTCTTGCATCAGTGAGTGAACACACAGAGAGGTAGCCTGGGGGAGCAGTTAGAATGTGGGCTTTCATGGGAGCTGATTTCGGTCATTGGGCCATGGGCTGAGTTCTCAACCTAAGGAGCCCTTCTTCTGAACCTTAGACGTAATGCTGATAGTGTTTAGTAAGGGCTAAGGCATGGACAGTGGGGTATTGCCTGGTCGGTGGTCAGTGCCCACTATTTGTAAGTGGTTATTGTGTGGACGTTTGCATGCTCCCCTTCATCAAGCCTGGGTCATGGTAGCCATGTTTCCTCTGGCGCTGCTGGCCTTGATTGTGTAGTGGCAAAACAGAAACCCTTCCAAAGCTAAGACATGGGTCCCACCCCCATCTTCTCTGATGCCTGACTAGTGTGTGGACAAGGTGCTTACTCTCTGACATCCATCTCTTCTTCAGTAAAGTGAATGAGCTGAAGCATATTTATCAGGCTCAAGTGGGGTTATGAGTATGAAAGCAAATGAAATGTAAAGCAATACACAAGTTGTAAGGGGGTGTGTAATTCTGGTGTCTGAAATGAGGTTGTCCACAGAGTAGTAATACTCTGAGGAGAAAGACATCCCTAACTCTGTGGTTCTAGCATGTTCGTGATTGTTTGGACTGAATAAAGTTTATAACAATAGCCCAAATTTCTGATGAGTGAATTAGACCAGTGACTCCCTGATTGCACATTATACTCTCTGAGGGGGTTACAAACTATAGAAATTGGGGTCCTGAGACCACATATCTGTAGTTTTCAAAGCATGCCAGATATTGGCTAATATGTAGCTAGGATTGGGAAATACTGAATTAGACTTAAGAGGCGTGTAACCTAGCAAAGAGCACTGGACTTTAAATCATGAGCAATGGATTTTGGCTCCAGTTCTGTCCCTATCTTGGTGGTTAAATTTGAAAAATTAAAATAGAAAAAAAGACTGGAAGCCATTGGGGATTGCAAAAGGCCCTTCCATTTCCAGCCATCTCTGCTGTCTCTGTGTGATGCCCAAACAACTGGTTGTTCTATTCAATTCAGGCAACCTGATAGTTGTATCATAGAAAAAACCTGAAATTCTTTCAGGGGTCTGTGAAACTGGGAGGCTCTGGGTTTGTGTATTGAAGTCCATTTTGCTCTAATCAGCTGGTCAATGTAGTCTCAAAATGATTTATTCTGTTAGCCTGAGAAACATTTTGTCATTGGAGTAGTACCCTAGTATATGGTATATGCTCAACAAATATTGGTAAAATTACTATATAAATAGACGTGGTCATCCCCTGTCTGAATATCAGATAAGGTGACTTTTAGATTATTTCTATCTATCTATCTATCTATCTATCTATCTATCTATCTATATCTATCTATCTATCTATCTATATCTATCTATCTATATCTATCGATCTATCTATCATCTATCTACCATCTATCGTCTATCTAAATATGCCATATATATTGCAAATACAAAATTACTTATCTGCTCTTCTGAGAAGCAGTGAGATCTGATGCAGAGGTAGTGGGATTCAGGCCTCTGGAGGTATCTAAGCAGAGGTGGATGATGAGGGTGGTAAGGTCTCTTTCAATCCATATGTAACCCATGACTTCAAGGGTATGAAGGTGTGTAAAATGCCATCAGGCCTTCTATCCCTTTCTTGATATTTGAACAACAGAATGAAGGCTGATCAAATGCCATTGGTTCTGGTGTTGTAGATTTTCCTTTGGGATTAAGAGTCCCAGAGCTACTGTTTTGAAAGATTCTAGATGTTTCTCTGCACTTGGGAAAGCTTGATAAATTTTTCCACCATTTCAAACTTGGGGCAATCAATTAAAACTAAGAGCTTAGTTGTTCTAAAGTGTTGGAGGTAGACGAGACTTCTAGAGCTCTAAAATCTGCTTAGGCACAGAGCTTGCAAATGCATTCCCACGGTTCCTAGCTGAATATTTATAAAATCATGTTCTGAGATGAAGATGGTATGAAAGAAGATAAATGATAGTGTGACTTTTATAAGGCTGACCATAGGCCAAAGATGCAAACTAGTGGTCTGCGGCGATTCAGAGAGTGGGTATGTTTTATGTAGCCCATCCTGTATTAAAAAAAAAAATCAAGTGTGTTACCAACATTTAAAAATCAGGAGTCCATATATATATATATATATATATATATATATATATACATACACATACATACACACACACACACACACACACACACACACACACACAGAGGGTGCCAAAACAATGTATACACATTTTAAGAAACAAAAAAACTGGATTAAAATTACACTGATGGTAACCACTTTGAGCATCTCTTATAATTGCAGAAGCCAAACATGACTTGTATTCATCTTTTGTTATCAATATATATTATTACAATTTTAATACATACATATATATGAATGTATTTCTGCTTTCCCTGAAAATCCAAAAAAATCTGTCTACGCTGGGCCCACTTTCCCTCATGGCAACAAAGACAAGATCTGAGAAGTGGCTGGCCTCTGTTGATGGGGCGCATACTCGCAGGGTGCCCCTACTTGGCCCTCCTCTCATTTCTATTATCTTCAAGGACTCTGGAGGCATTTGCTTTATTCTTCCTCCTGCAGACAAGGTTGTGCCCTGGAACCTGACATGGCCAGCACCCTCTTTGCCACTTGTGTGCACCTCGAGCACAGGGAATATGAGTTTTATTAAGAGATTCTGTCACGTAGAACTCAAGAAATTGACTTCCATCCTCCTCCCAGTCCATATCTTTCCACCTTTTTCCTCTTGTCTATACCCCAAATTTGAACACTTCTGTTGTTTTGAGTGAAAAGAGCTGCTGTGACTAATTTCTCTGGGAAAACATGTGTACATTGGGACTGTTGTGGATATACCAGTTTCATAGGACTGCTGTAACAAAGAACCACACACTGGATGGCTTAAAATAAAATTATTTTCTCCCAGTCTGGAGGCCAGATGTCAGCAAAATTAGCAACTCCTGGAGGTTCTGAGGGGGACTCCATTCCATGCCTTTCTTGTAGCTACTGGTAGTTGCTGTATCCTTGGTGTTCCTTGGCTTATAGATGCAATGATGATACATCACTGCAGCCTCTGCCTCCGTCATCTCACGGCATTCTTCCTGTGTGTCCGTGTCTGTTTTTTTCTTCTTATAAGGACACAAGTCGTACTGAATTAAGGCCTCACCATAACTTGATTCCATCTGCAAAGACCCTATTTCCAAATAAGGTCACATTCATGGGTGCAGAGGGTTAGGATTTCACGGTATCTTCTAGGGGGACACAATTCTACCCATAAGCCTCAGACTAGCTCTCTGACCTGTAGAATGGATGTGCTTGTAGTATCTGTTAGATATAGTTCCTGCAGTTCCTATCATGCCTGCAACACAGCTCGAACTCTACAAAAGCATCTACCTCCCTTCCCGCATCGCTTCCCTCCTCTCCTTCTCCCACTTGGTCACCCAGGTCCTTGGCTTCTTTGTCATTACTGTTTGCTCAGGATAGAAACAGGAAACAAACACAAATCCATCCTTCCTGTCATCAATTTAGTAGGTGATATGGCAGTGATATTCTTTCACACTAATGTGTTTACCTGTTACGTATTTCCAGAAAGGATTCCGACTGCAGTGGCATGGAAAAAACAGCTTTGCACTAGCCAGTACAGCATCCCCAGGTCTCCTCCTGTAAGTATCACTTCTTTTGAAGAAAAAAAACATGGAGAAAGCAGTCCCTCCACAACACCATCCACTGAATGGGACGAGACCCCATTGATATTCACTGTCACACAAGAAATTAATGAGAGAGACCGAGGAGAACCCAAGCAGGCCTGGAGCCATCCATTTTTGGAACAGCAAATGTCAAAAAAGTGTATTCAATCTGACCCAGTATACCCTGTGCATCTGGAGGCTGTCGGCACGCATGTCATTAGACATGTGAGACTTCAGAGCCAGCCCTCGCGAAACTCCAAGACACATGTTGTCCCATCAGGTAAGTCTCACTTTGTGGTTCCTAGTTCTTTTTTTTTTCTCTTTTTAATTGGTTATATTTTGTTTCTAATGCCAATATAAACAGCCACATTACTGACTCAATGGCAGATCCTATTTTAGAAGGTTCTATAAGAACTGTATCGGACAGCCTTTAATGGAAGTCTACTTGTTGTCAAGTATTGTATTGGGGGAAAGTGTGAGTTAATAACAAGTGTGAGTTGGTAACAAGTTATTTGATGATTCAAGTATTGTACCAGATAACAATGATAAGGATAATTATCATCATTATCATCATCATCATTCCAGCCCCCATTTATTAAGATCTCATCATATGGCAGACACTGTGCAGAGCATTTCACATTATTTTATGAAATCCTCATATACCACTCTCAGGCAGATAATGTGATTATCACCATTTTAAAGATAAGAAAGTTGTGAATTCATAGCACAGAATAAGATATATAATAATGACGTGTCTCAAAATCACAAACAGGAGGAATGATTAAAAGGAAGGAAACGTACCAGAAGGAATGAGCTTTGGAATAAGGAATATCTGAGCTCAAATCTCTGCTTTTCCCTTTTTCAGCTCTGTAGCCATGATCAAGTCCCCAAAATGTTCTTTGAGCCCAGTATTTCCATTTGTGAGCTAACGATCATTCCTGCCTTGCAGAGATGTTGTAACTAGAGGATTGATAGAAGTAAAATGCCCTGAACATAGCAGGGACTGAATGCGGTTGTGATGGTGGTGGTGGTGTTTATGGTGCCAATGTTCAGACTAGAGGAGAGAAAGTGTAAGGAAATAATGCATATCTCCAAATATCCTAGGAATTGTCGTGCAGAAGAAGGATTAGACTGCTTTTATGTAGACTTTTGTTTAGGGAACTTTTTTGGTGGATTTTTCTCCAATGTTTATACTGTTTGTTGAAATTCACCAAAAGACATATTTTGACTCAATAAAAAGGAGAATATACTGCTTGGGCTAGAGTGTTAAGGTGTGGGCTGGGAGACCATCTACCAAAGATGCTGGGTCAGAGATTCCTTCATTTTGGGGAGTTTGGGCTTGAGGGTGGGATGCTGAGGATGCTGGTTGGTTAACATGTTTTTGTCTTATTCTGTATAAAGCAATGTGCTAAGATCTGAACACACTTCTTCAGTTTTGGTCCAGATGGCCACCCTCTGAGATAAGCACTGTTATTTTTCCATGGTTTAGATACAGTATTGGAGGCCCATAGAGATTCTGCAACTTTAGAGCTGGAGCCAGCTTTCAAACCCTCCAATTTAACTCCAGGTCAGAGGATTTTTATATTAAGATTCTAAGTATGACAATAACGGCTCATGGGTATTGAGCACTCACTATGTACTAAGTATCGTTTTATCATGTTCTTCCCTGAGGTACTTAACTAGTTAGCTTTTTCATTTCCTTCAGGACTTTACTGAAATATCACCTATGTGGGTCTTTCCTAACCTTTCCTGCTTGATTTTTCTCCTTAGAATTTACCACCTGCTAACACTTACACATTTCATCATTTCTTATTTAATAGTCTACTTCCGTTCCCCACTCCCTCTCCCCACAACTACAATGGAAGCTCTGTAAGTGCAGGGAAATCACCGGCTTTCTTTCTTTCTGTATCTCCAGTGTCTAGAATACTGCCAGGCACATAACAGACACTCAAATATTAATGGATGAATAAATGAATAAACAAACAATTCCACTAACAACCCTGTGAAGTAGGTAATACAATCCTCATGTGTCAGGTAAGGACAAAGAAGCTTAGGCCAGGTGATGTGTCAGGATTTGAATATATAATGGCCTGGCCCCAAAGCCTTTATTCCTTTATACCCCCACTTCCCCTCTAAGACAGTTTGTTACAAAATGCATCATAATCAAAGTGTGTTTGGGAAAAGAATTCCTGTTCTTTGGTTCCAGACAGAGAACAGAATATTCCGTCTAGGTCATACTCTTGCTCCTAATTCCAGAGCCATGTCCGTGTTCTCCGGTGGAATCTTCTTACATGATTATTGATGACCATAAATGGGTCACCTGCCAATGCTGGAAATCCAAATTGAGAAACAGCTCCTAAGCATCTAGTTTTCACAAGGCAATGTGTTTGGCTCCCTGAAACCTTTTAATTACGTAGAGATATTGAAAGACCATCCCACTTTATTTCCAGGGAATAATTCTCACATTGGAGAAATCAGATTCACTAAACATTTTTCGCTCTTTGACTTGGTTATGTTGAGTGTGTTGCGGGAGATGTTCGATACATACCGGGCATAAAACAAACAGTATGTGTATCTACCTAGAGATAGACTGGCTATTTGACACCACTGTCAGGAAGGTAATGTACATTTTAAATCTTTTACACTTTTTTTGAATTTACAAATGATCCTGTAGATTGTTCCAAATATTCTAGACATCTCCATGCTGTTCAAAGCCCTGTAAAAACGTGTAGAAAGTGATCTAAAGCATGTAAATAATCTTAATTAACTACTGAAGAATTAGACTTTAATTTGTGTGGGTCAATGGGCAGAATGTATCAGGTAAAAACTTCAAATTGTATATATATATGATATATGCATACACACAATATATATATATATGTATATATGGAAATGCAGGTAGAATATACATACATACATACACATTCTTTTACAGTAATGGCTGTATTGTAAAAAAAATACCATACCTCATCTTTTACATGAATAAATGATTTGGTTGGACAAAGAGAAAAATCAAATCTATTATTATTAGTGTGCTTGTATGTGTAGACCCAGCATCATATTAATTCACTAATGGTTTTCATTTTCAGCTGGTTTGAAATTTCTAACACAACTCGTGAAGTAACTGCCTCTTGGATTTTTAAATGATCAGTTGTAAGGCTAAATGGGCTGTGGGTCCATTTGTTTTGCATATCTAACTCTACTTAACAATTTCCCATTCACAAACTTTTCCCATATTTAGAATCTGAGGCCCTATTTGAGATGCCAATTCTTCTGGTTCCCTCTTTTTAGAAGTTTTGAACAGTTTTACTTGAAATAAAAAGTTTTATGAGGATCCTGTAAAAATTATTTGGAGGGGCTGCTTTCAAAAAATGGGAAAGGGGCAGATAGCATTTTATTTTCTTAAAGGAATGTGGAGGAGCACGTGAGGATAACGTTAGGGCATTCCCTTCCCCACTCTTTGAACATTGCAAATGTTGATTTCTGAAACATTCAGTTATGAGGAGAATTTTTTTTTTTTTTTTTTTAGAAAACCCAGCAGGGTGGGTAAAGTGCGCACACTTTAGTGTCACTCCTGCCCTTCTTTGTCCTCCAGGTCCTGCTGCGAGGCCTTCCACGGCCATCGGTCTCTGCAGGGGAAGCCAGACCCCTTTTGCCCCCTCGAGGGTCTCCTGGAGTTCTTCAGAGGCCAAGCTGGAGGAGAGGATGGCAGCCACAGTGGGCGCGCTGGCAAGCCCATATTCCCAAAGCAGGCTCCAGGGCGTGCCCGGAAATCCAGTCAGAAGAGGCGCAGTTGCTATGGCACTGGAGATGCTCCCCAAGCATCCTCATCTCCTGGGGAAAAGGGGGCTGAGGGCAGACGCCTCCCTCCACGGCAATGTGGCAGGAGCGCCCCTTCCTCAGCTTGCCGGGGCTCCCACCCATCTCCCCTCAAAGAGGTTAATCAAGGCTGGCTCTGCTCCCCCCTCCCGCCCACCCCAGCGTTTCCATACGGTTTGTTCACAGGCCCCTCCTAGGCCCGGGGTGAATGCTCACTTCCATTGACCGCTGCGAGGGAATTGTTCCGCGAGGGCTGCCCATCTTCAAATCAATGCCTGCCCAGAACAACAGAAAGGGCCTCAGATGTACTGGTTTCCACAGAACCATTGTTAGGCTTTTGTGAAGTAGTTTTGAACCTAATAAATAATGTCAAAAGTCTCCATCGCAGCCAAAAATGTTCCTTTTGAAGCATTTCTAATAGTATTTTTGTTCGGCGGTGTCTCCCAGTGTCACAAAGAATTTGTGCCTTACAATAGGGATGGGGTACCTCGCGTGCCACTTCGCAATATGCCTGAAGGCACAGCAAGCACCCCTCTTTGTTTCGGTCGCCCAGGTAAACGGCTTCACTTGCCAACCTGGGCTTTGGTTTACGGATGTTTTCTAAAGGCCTTTTGAATTTTTCAACAGAGGTTTGGAAAACATAAGTGAATGTTTGTAATTTAATAGTTAACACGAAATTTGATTACTTCTGATGTGCCTAGGAGAATTCTTCAGGCTACGTGAAGGTTTTTATGCCAGAAACCTGAGGCTGGATCCTCTTTTGAGGCTCTGAAAGACTTGGAATTAAGTTTAGTGCAAAAGACATGCTGAATGTTCTGATTTGTAACAAAAAATACTGGAGCAGCTTTGGGAGCACTTCATCAAAGTGGTCATTTTAGGCAGTTTTTGATTTTGGTTAAATTAAACATAGCTTTTCATCATGATGCAAGTAGAGACTGACTTTATCAAATGATTTTATGGGTTTATTATTTTTCTTTTTTAATGCACCATTTTTCTTTCAACATTGAGAGAGAAATACAAATCAATGTGACCAATATCTCCGTATATGAGATACACTCAAGTTCTTTGAAATTTCCCTACAGGCTTGGATTCATAGAGTTTGATACATAGAAGTTGTACTATAATATACATTTGGACTTTAGACTTTTGTCTAAATTTGAGACTTATCATCAAGTCTAAAGTCCAAATGTAAGTATCAAAGTTTCAATAGGCATGATATGTTATAACCAATAACTGCTTAGCATTTGGGAGTCCATTTAGTTCTATGAGAACAATTTGATGTCATTGAATATTAGCATTCTCTAGGAGTAATGATGCACTTCAAGAAAAAAAGGGTATCCCCAAACTTTAGAGCTTTTCTTGTTCCAGAGTGATACGATTTTATAATAAATATGTTTTTATTTTTGTTTATTTATTTATAACATGATTTTATTATAAGAGAGTGTACAGATTATCAGTGGTGGTTGCTATGGTTTCTTGAGGGTATAATGGCAACTGTTCACCAGAGTCATATGACAACCATAAGTTCAACTTCATGCCATTTGGTTGGAAAAAAATGTGTGGTCAAAATCATAGGTTATTGTAAAATTTTGATTCTGGGATTATAATTTCCTATTTAATTATGCATTAGTGCAAATTAATTTTTTTTGAGATCAAGAAATCATTGCATTAAGAGATTTAATTTCAGGAGTAGACAATGTTTTTGACACAGTAAGTGGATTCCATTACCTGTAGTACAAAATAGTGGATATACTAAAAATACAATAAAAAAGAAACAATTCTGTTCAGAATTGAGAAAAGGGATACAAGCAAAAGATGAGAAATATGTGACATATCATATTCTAAGGCAGTTTTCCAAACGATGTGCCATGGGACATGGAAATTAGAAAGATGCTTTGTGAGAAGACGCTGAGAGATATGGCTCAGTGTGCTCCCTCTTAGAGAGTCACAGTAACATATTAAGGATCCTGAGAAATTCCATGATAAACAAATGTGATAATTCTGTTTAATCTAGTGTTTCCCAACTTTCTTTGACCAGACAACCCTGATATATGTATGTGTTTGTGTGTGTATACACATATGTAATTTTTTAAAATGACACCTATTAATATCTTGCAGGACCAGTGTCCTGTGGAACACACTTGAGAAAACGTTGCTCAAAACTCTGCTCTAAATATGCAAAATTCATATAAACTGGTAGAGTTCAAAGTGAGGATTTCTTTTCAAAGAAGTGAAGAAAGAATCAGAGCTGAAGAAAGTGGCCCTTAATAAAACACCCATTCTCCCTTGGAGGAACATAACAAGCTGCCTCTGGCTATTTTTCCTCGCTTTGATTGTATGTGGTTGGCAGAAGGTTAGTTGGTTCAGCCCTGACCATGCTTAGATCGTCATGGATGAGGACTGTTTCCAGCTTTGGCTGTCATGGTCCTGGGCTGGAGGTGTTCAAGTCCTCCTGAATGATGGCTACTTTTGTACTAGAACTTGACACAAATGTACCAAGGTAAGCATAGTTAAATCTTTCCCAATGCCATTATTTCTGAAAACAGTGCTTAATTAAACAGCTATTGAGGATGAATCGATTTTAGAAAATTAATATGTTTAATTATAGTAGTGTCATTGAGGAATAGACAAGTCTTATGGTATAAAATAATTGTTGCTAAGATCCTGAATTACGGCCTGCTAATAGTTGTTAGGGGTACCTGGTTTGATTTATGGCACATTTATTAGTATATACTCTCAGTGTCTTCTAAGAAAGATAATATGCCATTTCGTAAAAACATGTTTTTCTGAAAGTTGTATTGGAAAATAGATATTGGTAAATTTTTTAAAATGGTGCCTTGAAGAAGCTAAATATTTAAGATACTCTAGTGAATGATGTTTACAAATGAGAAGTCCTTTTATAATATGTAAAATAAATAATTACAATACAGATAACATTTATTGAGTATGTATTATGTATTAGGGACTGTTCTAAGTGTTTACTTAGCATGTATTAATTCATTTATTCCTCACAATGGCTTCATGAAGTATTTACTAGTATTATTATCTCCATTTCATAGACAAGGAGGCTTTACTTTTAGTAATAAGTTATATATACATATGTACATATAAGCTTTAAAAACTATATTATTATGTATTATAAAATTTTACTTCATATATAAAGCTATACTATATACTGTATTATTAAAGCTAGTATATATGCACATATGACTACATGTATGTATTCCACCTATCCAGATAACATCTGTAAATCAGATTTTATGCCATGCTATTGGTGCCTAAGTGAGGAAAGTCAGAAACTCTAGTTACATCCCCTCTCCTCCTGATAACAAGGTGCCAAATAGGAGGTGGTCACTGTGGGTTGAGGACTTATAATATGTTTAAACCCTTTGAAGAGCAAAGTAGGGTCAGAGATTATTGTCACATAGTTCTTTTTGTTTGAAACATCATCATCCCTGTGAATGAAGGCTCAGAAAATAAGGGAAAGGAAGGTGGTTTTGAGATTTACTAAAGATGGTGGCACTTTTCAAGGTTATTGGAGCTGACTGACATCAGACTTGTGGAAGGGATGTGATGTTGCAGAGGAGAGTTAGGAAGAGCTAAGGTGCTGAGGCCAATTGGATCTGAGGAACGAAGAATGCGTTCCTGTAAATGTAACCTGCACTTAGTGTCCCTCTATTATTTGGCTGGAGTTTTTTCACGGTTATATTGGGATAACAGGTTTCATTTCCTGCAAGGATACTTTGGGGATTAAGTTTTCTATTAAATCATACATTTTGGAAAGTAAGAGCATTATGCAAAGGCAAGTCATTATTTGTGACTAATATCAACAATAAGTATAAATACTATCATTGGTTATACAGGGCTCATTTAAGAGCTTATAGGTCCAACTGCCTTACACTACAGCAAGTATTATTTCTGGTGACCACGTGCTCACGTCCCTTTCTGAGAAGCTTTTTATAGACCATATTCTTTACCCTCATCACAACACTATGAGGTAAGTAGCAGTACCTCATTTACTAATGAGGAAACAAACACAGAGAGACAACGCAATTTGCCCAGCAATGATAGCCAACTACAATGTATGTAGTTCAAAAATTAATAAACCGTTACATTCAGAACCTCCAGTTTAGAAAAGTTCAATTTAGAGTGTAGCTTGCCAGTTGGCAGGATCTACCATCACATGAACTTTTAGCCCAACTCTCTATAAAAGCCTGAAACTGCCCAGAGAAGGGGAGGAATAAGGCAATGTTTTTGTAACCACAAATATGACGTTGAGGGTGCTAAGTCAGGCAGGGACCCAGGAAAGAGGCTGTTGTTAGGAGGAGACTTGACATTAAGAAATACGTTTCAGATTTTTTAAGGTACGTGACATCCCTCTTGCACAGCCTTTGTGAAATACTCTTCCTCATCAACACTTTTCCGTACAAGTTTTTGCCATGTCTGGGCTCCTTTTCCTACTGTTCCCTCCATATCCTCTAACCCTTATTTTCCTTCCTCTATGCCATAGGGCCCGTGGGATTCGATCTGGTTTTGTGAGTCAATGATATTGGGACCAATTGTGAAGTGTTTATTGGACACTATTCTAGGTAGTCATTGTGAGAGATTTGAGAAGAGTGATTTAACTCAATCAGCATTTATTGAGCATTCGCTAGCTGATGAGACATAAAATAATGACACAATAATATTTAGGTCTATAACTCTTTAGTCATAATTCTGAAATCCAAAATCTCTGACAATTGAAAGTTCTTTTATAACTATTTGGTGTCAGTTATGACCCAAACTGAAGTGAAGTTATTTATTTATTTATCTTATTTATCTCAATGTGTATGAATATTCATGTATTTTGATAAAGATGTGTTAATATATTTGATTATGTAGTGCTACCTGGAACCCTGATGAATAGTGTTACATAATACATGATTTATGCACCATTACATAATATATAGTTTATGGATCATAATATGCACAAAAATTTAAGTTCTAAAACTCAGCTGACCTGAAGGGTTTTGGAAATAAGATTTTGAAGTTATTTAGTGAATAAATGCAGTGGAAACTTACAGAAGGGCGAGGTAAATAATTGAAATAATCATAATTGAAATAGTTGAAATAATCATAAAAGGCCTCACGTGGTTGGATTTAAACTTGATTTTGGAGAGTATAGGATTTGAAAGGACAAAGTAATGGGTGGTACAGGAAGTAGCAACAAAGGACACATCAACTTT